ATTGGATAGTGAATGCATTGTTCAACAATGCAAATTTTCATAGGGAGATAAGAAAAATATTTATTTAATATATACCTCTTGATTTTGTATAAGGTTTCTTCTCTAATATCCTTTCATAATGTAAATGAGGAATGATTGAACCTAATGAAATTAAATTTTACTTTTAATAAGGGTTGGTTTAATTTTTTAAAAATTGGTTGGAGATTATCAAGATATATGTGTTTTATTAGTGTAATTATCCCCACCAATCCTTATTTAAAATAAATGCAGATCACTCATTTTTAAAAGAATCACGAATTAATATTTAATAATTGCGCGTCATTACTCTTATTGGCCCAAAATAGTAAAGATCATCATTATCCGTAATATCGAGAAAAATTTATTATTAAAGTGGACGTATTAGTGTGACACACACTGTACAACATCAAACTTTAACTCGACATGACTCCTGTTGCACTGAACTAAAAAAAAATGAATGTATTAGTATTACTATGCAGTTTCCGGAGTTCTATTTCCGTTGTATTACTGTGACAAGCATTGTACACAATTTTAAAAAGACAATCATTTTGTTGGATACAGTGTTTCAATCCCCTTTTTGAATCCAAAAAGAATTATATTCGAAATACATCAGATGATTTTTGGTAAAGAATTTCGAATAGTCATAAACAGTTCGAATAACCATAGGTGTTTCAAATAGTCATAAATAAATATTGTTATAAAAGCAAAATTATCACAAAAAAAGAAAAAAAAACCACGAATATCAGTTTAATTCTAACTATAAATTTTATTTTTTTATTTTTTATTGCATATCCCGTTTGGATGTTCAGAAGATACATTCATCTTTATCTTACAGATTCTATAACCATCACGATCCTCCAAATGAAGCCATACCTTTATTTATTTCAGGTTCTATTTTTTTATTTGAAGGAGTATTAGCCGAATTATCATCACTATCGTCAATTATTATTGTACTGTTACTAGTTGCAATTCGTTAAGAAAGACTTCGAATTGAAGTTCATTCGACAAACAAAATATATAGTAGTAGTAAGGAGAGATATAATATATTCGTGTGAATAATTTAATGGTATTAATAAATGTTTCGAATAAGAATTATGAATCTTCAAACATCACTCTTATTTCTGTAGTCCTTTGTAACACGATTTAATATTAATGTTAATGTTTAAATGTAAAATCCGTTGAAACGAGAATTTTTTAATTCATATTAATAATTAGTATTTTAATTTATCCTTGCCGATCATTGATAAAAATTACATGAATACATGTTATTGGACATAGTAATAATTTCAAGTTTAAAACACTACCGTATAGTAATGATGATTTAAGATTAAAATAAATAAATAAAATGTGTTTCTAAAAGATTAAAATAAATAAATAAAATGTATTTCTAAAAGATTAAAATAAATAAATAAAATGTGTTTCTAAAAGAATAATTTACAATAATAAATAATTAATTGTTCCGGTAAATATTTACATTTTGATTTTATCCATTCAGAAGAAAATTTTGTGCGTGATCATTACGACCATCATTATAATAGCCTTTTTTAAATGATTATCATTATTTTTTTATACATGTATACATATTCCTATCTTAGTATACTAAGCTATTTCAATTGCCGGTTTTTCCGACAACTTATTATTTTCCGGACTCTGTCGTCCTTTCATTCATTAATCAAATCAACATTAAAATTCTAAGTAATTTTGATTTTCTTTTTGTTTGCTTGTTTAAAATTAGATTCTCTATCAATTGGACGTTTGTTAATGCTCGAACAATTAGAAAAAGGAGGAAGTTCATTAAGAATTTTCATTTTACTTAATTTTTCACCAAATTGATTAAATTGGGTTTTAAATAAATTATTATTATCATTATAATATTCCATATGACTTTTTACTTTGGACAATTCTACATACCAATTAACTTGTAACTCAGTGTTAAATATTAAAGTCTTGCTGTTTTTCTTAATTTTAAATAATTTTGGTAGAAATTTCCAGAAAAATTGATTCAACAAAACAGATTCATCCAATTTAATCAGATATTTCAAATGGTAGGTTTTATAGGGAATTTCTGAGAAGAAGGATTGTTTGCACAGTTTATCAAAAGTCTCAAAAATGGTTTTTAATGATTCATCTTGTTCCATCTTAATACGTGTGAGTATTGATTGGGAGTCCATATAATATCTAGCCAATAGAATTTCATCAAAACACCTTGATGTAACTCTAGAGTCAGATTCAAATTTTTTGAATATCCAGGAATAAACACTTAAATTCAATGAAAATAATCTTATAAATCTATCAGTATTATCACCATAATCATGACTACAATCATGATCACAATTACAGTATTGATTCCCTATTTTATATTTATTTAATACTTTCAGGAAACTTTCTTCAGGATTTTCAAGTTTTTCATACAAGAATTCTAAAACAGTTAAATTTTTTAGACCTTTTTCAGGCTTGAGGATTTGAATCAAACAATATTCCAAGATTTGTTGTATATCTTCATTTCTGAATATTTGGAATGATTTCAAGATCAATTCACCAATCATTGATAATTCATTTTCAAATAATAGCAACACATCACCCATGACTAGTTTGGTTAATTTAAAACCCAAATTGACAAATTC